TGTATTTTCAGTTAACGTCCCCACCTCCAGTTTACAGCCGTGCACGGCTGCTTTCTTGAGCTTTACCTTGAAGCACTTGGGATGGTCTCCTACACCATGAATTAACCAGACTCAAAGAGGGGTTGGTTAAAGATCAACACATGGTCAGGCTTGAAAAGCTGGGGGTGTTACACAGAACATCTAAAAACACTCACCTGGGTTGGCCTGCCATGCAACAGACAGTCATGTAGAAAGAGATGCATTCAGAGGCCAGTTTAGAGCACAGTACATAAAAACGATAACAACAACCCAAAACCCGAACAACCCTGCATTTACCTGGGTCTCTCTAAACTTGGCACACTGCCTTCCTGTTGCTGTCATGTGAAAGGAAACGGTGATCTAATCAACATCTGAGATGCTGCACATAAAATTTCAAGCTGTATGATGTTAATTGAAACTGTGCAGGAGGTGCATGATGGGACTTAAACCAGTTTCAGTTTTGCTCATTGTGCATGCTTAAAATAATAAGAATCATTGTCGGGCAATCTAAAACTCAAAGACAACTGGCAGGGAAGGGAAACGACTGAGACAGCACTCTTTTCTCAAACACATGACATAGGTCAACAAGCTTGACAGGACCAATAATAATGAAGAAAGGTGACTAAGACTGTGGGGAATGTGTCACTTCTGACGTCATATGTGACATTTTACTCACTCTTAAATATCTATCATTTGAATGTGCATCCATCTTTGCATCGTGCCTCAATGTTCTCCAAGTTCTGCCATATAAACCTCTGTAAGTCATGTTTGTGAATACATCTCTAAGAGGTTCGCAACTTCAGCACCACACAGGAAGTCTCTGGGTGTAGTTAACACTTCGACTAATCTGTTCAAGTCAAAGTAAAACCATATCTGAGGGATTGTTGTGAAATTTCGATCAAAGCGTTTACACCAACAACAAAAAAATGGTAGTGTGACTGAGGTGAACATGTAGCTTGTTTTTAGGAGTCTCACCTCATGTTGTAGCTCTGCTATCTGGTCTTTGAGGTCGCGGATGTACTGGCTCGAATCTGTGTGGTTCAGCTGCCCTTGGACCTTTCCTTCTTCTTTCTGTTGGGACAAAATACACAACTTTCAAACATGTTCCACAGCTTTTGGGAAAAAAAGGATTCTGTTAATCATCTACAGGGTCAAAATATTTTAGATTTCTGGCATATTATACATACACTTAAATAAAAAAGGGTCTGTGGAAATTACACTTATGTCTTCTTGTTTATGGTTGAAAACTCCTGCACAGGCAGGAGAAATAACAGCAGCTTCGAGAGCCCCGCTGCAAAAAAAAGCGGCATCGCGCGGTACCCTGCATGTATGGCGGGCGACCAAGGTGACAGATGTCTGGTGAAACACAAAACAGTGTCATTTGTGCTTGATTTCCTCCTGGGGCCCTGGGGATGAGGCTGGTTGTTGCCTCTAACAGTTAAACAGCCCATGCGATGTTTACCTTCCTAAGTGAAGACATCTGCAGGCACTGGAGACAAACACATATTCTATTTCAAACCTCAATCACACCCCTGAACCTGCCAGTTCCACACTGAGATAAGTTCAAAACACAGGCAGCAGCACTGAGGCAAAAAAAAAGGGAAGACGCGCGCTCGGTAAGGGGTGGGGTGTCGAGGTAAAGCGGTGACACTGAGTCTTCACCGCCTGAACAACACCCCAAAATACAGATAGGGTTTTAGATTCCTGTGGTGAGGTGGTGTTCAATATGGCGGGTCCCAATAGGCCATTTTTTTCACATGGAGAGGTCTAAACAAGAAAGATTATTCCAAGAACCTGTTGTTTTTGAGGTTTTGCTGCTCCAAAACACTGCAACGACAAGGACGGGCAGTTAATAGAGACTTCCTGGTGTTCAGCTGTGTGAATCGCCAGGTGTCAGGCTGTGGCCAGGGACAACAAACATCTCACAGAAACATCCATTGTATCTTCAAGTCCCAGTGTGTTGTGGTTTTGTTTAGTTCAAATAGTGCAGTGTAGGGGCTTTCTGCGTTCTAAAAAGTACACTACTAAATTTGTTCAGTCTCCTGGCAGATCTGAACTGAGCATCAGATAATCTGAGATCATCCTTTAATCATGCGGCCATTTCATCACATCCTGGGCAAGTGGGCAAAATCACAGCTCATAAAAAAAGTGCACATGAAATGTCGATTGCATGCGACGTTTCAGTCGGCTTTACGCGCATCTCCAACATTGTGGTAATGACGTAAAGGTTATTTTGAATCTGCAAAGACGTCTATGAAAGATGTGTGAAAATTAAGTGCTAAAATATTTTTTGTTC